GAAGTGAAATAGTAGGAGAGAAGAAGGAACCAACCACCTTTAAAACACTTCTAAGTGGACACAGCAACTCATTTTGGTGGATTACCCATGGAAATGATATCCTGGCTCAAATCTGTAGAGGGAATCCAACCTGAATTAGATCCCTCCATGTCTCCTCTTGGTCTCCTATAATATGGGCTGGTAAAGCACCTAACACCCTTTGCTCCTGTTAATCAGCCTTTTTTGCACAGATGCTAATGAATAACTTGCCTTTCGGATGTATACGGGCAGAAGCAAAGAGGTAATTTTTGGAGCTCAGAGTAGAACTCCTGGGTCTAAGCGTAGGAGGCCCCCGGTTTGTGTCTCTTCTTCAAAAGAGAACTTACACATTTGTTTAGAGCTAGGGCAACAACTGGGAGGGAAGCTATTTACCTGGTCATCCCTTGAATAGAGTTGCCAGATTTAGCAAATAAAAATAAAGGATGCCCAGTTAAATTTGAATTGCAGATAAGCAACAGATAATTTTTTGGTGTAATATTTGTATAATGCTTCAGGGAATTTTTAGCTATAGAAGTGTGAAAAGAGACTGTTAGACTTGGGTTGATGAGGAGGCTATGAATGAACCCCAAGGTCAAAAGGAATTCTTTGGGTGGGAGAATTCTTGGGGTGATTGACTTGGGGAGAGACCATTTGGTTATGAATGCTGAGAACATGCCTTCCATCTCCTGCCACTGAAGTGATGGTCACTACACCCTCAGGATCATATCAGCCTCTAGGTTCCTCTTACCTGCTCACAGCTAAGAGCAGAAGCATTAGAGGTAGGGCTGAGCCATGACATCCATTAGGAAACAGTTTTTGTACATTTATAGTGCACTGAATCCTGCGTCTGTGCTGGTGGTGGTCACAGGTACCCTCTGCTTTGGGAGTAAGGTAGGAATTAAGCGCCCCTCTGTGTACAGAGCTCCTTACCCAGGCCCTGTGCTCATGGGGACAAAAGAAGTGGAAAAAAAGCCCCTGTTTCTGAAGAATATACATGAATGTGGCATGGAATGGGGCAGAGCTTAGCTTTGTATTAACTCAGAGTTGGAGTTGTGCACGGTGGCCACACTCTGATTCCATGGCACGTGTGTGTGTGTGTGTGTGTGTGCGCGTGCGTGCGTGTGTATAGCTAGTATTACAGCAGCCATCACCTCAAGTGCAAGGAGCCTCCGACCTTCTGGTCTGGAGAGCCTTAGTGATTTGTGGTTTGGGGATAAAGCGAACCAAGCTCACTGGCTTGTTGGGAGGCTGAACACTGTGACCTTGGTATTTTTAGCAATACGCTGGACTAAGAACAGTGGAGCTGCGCAGTACTGACAAAGACATTGCAGGGCTCGATGGCAGAGTGGGGGAAAGGCTTGACTTCGACACCAGAAGAGGAGAGACTTTAATGCCTGGTCTTGCCATGTATCAGCAGTTTAATTTTTTCTAAGTCCCAATTTCCTCTCCTAGGAGATGGAAACAGTAGTTATATCAGGATGCGCTTGGGGATTTAATGAAATAACTTCTGTGAAAATGCTAGCAGATAGTAAGCCCCGTTCGTGATCCTGCAGTGTTTCCCATTCTCGGAGCACTTTGTAAGCATCTCTGTTATGACATTCTTCACAGTGAATCATAATTATTTCATTTCTTTGTCTGCTGCATCCGTGGGATTGAGGGCCTGGGTGGGCCCTTTCCTGCTGTGTACTCGCCTTGAGCCTCCTGCACAGGGCCTGTTACATGGGAGGCCCAGAGTGTTGCTGAGCTATACAGGCTTCAGCACTGAGATTTTGCTAAAGGGCAAGGCTTTGCATTTTGTCTTCCTTTTCCCCTCCCTCTCCCTAACTCTCCTACTGAATACTGGGCAGACCCTGTCCTATGAGATCTGCTTGAGAGCAGAGGCCCTACACTATTTTGGAAGAGCCACCTTAGACTCTAAAATGTCTGAGGGCAGATTCTTAATACATTCCTGTGAGCTCAAACAGGCATGTGTTTGAGTAGCATCCTGGCTGTGCCACCTGCCCTTTTCATTGGTAAATTCTAGGGTTCCTGTGATCTTTCTGTCCGTTTGGTTTCTGCTTCAACACATTTACTATGTTCATCAGTGCAATTCGATCCATCAAGCATTCACTGAACACCTTTTACTTGCCAGACCCTGGGCTAGGTGTGGGGGATGTAGAGATGCAGAAGACAGCAACTCCACAGTGCGTGTTCCGGATCCTGTGGGAAAGACATATGAGAAACCAGAGAAAAACAGAGAATTCTTCTAAGTTGTGGTCAGGGCAGTGATGGCAATGGGCGCAGAGTTTTATGTGGGGTACACAGCAGGGTTCTTTCCCTCAAATATCTCCCCCTCCCCAAGAATTTCACTGCTCTTGCTTCCAGCAAGTGGATGGGGACTCCCTCAAACATGATATGAACACTAGGGAGCAGCCAGTGGCCAATGTGCATGAGCTAAAGATCCTATTGACAGCTATTCTGCACGGTATGAAGGAACAGAAAATTCTGGGGATGGGGGAACATGGGGCCCCAAGTGACATGGTTCTGGGTGAAGTTTGGGGTGGCTTGGATAACTCAGAGGACAGGTTGATAAAAAGAGCATGGATACGTCTTGTGGCTCGCTGTGTGAGGCCCCGGCCACAAGTGCCGTATTTTGGCTTCTCTCCTTCAAATTAGCTTCACTTCTGTTCTCTTTCCCACATGAGAATTCTTATTTCTCTCACATTTGCTTCTCTGCCAGCTCTTATTTCTTCTGATTTCTTTCCTGTTTTCATCTCCATGTTTCATTTCACCATTCGCTTCCCTATCCTCTCCTCCTCCTTCCACTCTACCATTTTTCTTTCTCTCTGCACTTGTACCTTCTTGCCTTCTAATTTTGTCCTTTGGCCCTCACATCCATGTTCTGAAATATACCTCCTTCCACTCAGGGTTGGGCAGGAAATATTCCTGAAAGAAATAGTTCTTTCTTATGATATGAAAGAGTATCTCAAGTGTACCTGGGTATCCTAGGAAACAGCTCTGGTTTCTGAACAGGGCATATTCTCTCCACCATGTGTGTGTAGCCAGAGGGAGAACCACCTCCCGTGGGCACTGCGCCTCAGAAGACAGTCCAGTGCTTCTTCCTCTGTTAGCAGATTCAGCCAAACAGTGACCCCCATTTTCCTGGAGTTCTGGTTCTCCACCACTGCACTATCCTTGAGCCTTCCCTTTCTCCTCTTGCCTTTGTTTCTATGTTGTTTTATTTTCCAGTCCTATTTTCCATGTTTCTCCCTGCTCTCCTTTCAGGTTCTCCCTGCTTATTAGAAATGACATCACTCCCCTCCCTAATTTCTCTCTTTAGTTTGGGCAGAGTGAGTCAAAAGCAGCATCAGAACATCTCTCTTTTTCAGAGACAATATAGAAAGAGGAGAGGTAGAGGAGATCTTAGAACTTGCCGAGGTCTTGAGACCCTTTATGAGAGTCAAATTTCTTTCTGGTTCTTGTTTTGAGGTTGGGTTAACATAGAATTATAGAGTCTTAAAGTTGAGAGAAATCTCTTCTGGTTATTTAGATAACCTTCAACCAGTGTTGGAACACTTTTAACTTCCTAATAGATAGCCCTACAGTCTAGGCCTGAGTATGTTTAATGTTAGGAAGCGTACTACCACGTGAAGCAGTCCACTTTGTTCTTGGCCAGCACTGCGTATTTCAAAGTTATGGCTCATGATCTAATGTCATGGATCTGTGTAATTTGTACCTTTTGATTCTGTATCTGCTTTCTAGAGATATGCCTAGACCGTCCATTCGATTTCAGGTGTTGAAGGAAATGTTTCATCCAAAATAATTAAATGACAGAAACTATTCCTGCCGCCCTTTGACTATATGGAAAACTCAGTTTTCTGAGTGACTCATTCGCCAGTGGCTCCAGATAGCTGAAATTGTCATGGAGAGGTTTTGAGGGAGGACAAGTACTATTCCACAGAAAGAAGACTAAAATTAGACAAAATTACAAAACCAGCATTATTAATATTTGTGTTGGACATAATATCTCATTTGCACGTTATCACTTCTAGAACACTGTTAATATTCAATACTATGTCATTTCATTTTTAGAACGAGGTCATGGTACTTCACCCATTTTGTAGATGAGGGGAGTAAGGCTGCTAGTGTGTGTAACTTGCCTCAAATCACTCAGTTCTCAAGTGCTTAAGTCAGGACACAACTCTGCTGTCTTTCATTAATACTAAGTGTCATTGACTATCCACAGTACCTGCAGTGTCATGGGATTATATGCAATAAATTGTCTCCTCAAGACAAGGTACTTGGTATACACAATCTAATAGGATTGTTATGGATTCTGTGTGTGTGTGTGTGTGTGTGTGTGTGTGTGTCTGGCTGCGGAAGTGTAAAAATAGAAGCAAAGAAACCAAATCCAAGTTAATACAGTGATTCAGGGCAATTATAAAAGTGCCATATGAGGACCAGTGAAGCTGTTCCCTAATTATAAGCATGAGTGTGATTGATTTGTTTGGTAAAAACTCTTAAGTGCCAAGGTGGAGAAGAACGAGTTACTCCTTTGCTGCAACTGATCCAGAGAAATTCCCTGAAGGAGTAAGAAGACGGGAATCTAAGAAAATTCTGAAATATAAAATCCAGGGGTCTTGGTAGATTAGAAAGTGGGAGAGGAGGTTGGTGAAGGGATAGGGAGGAGGAAGGTAGGGGACAAGGTTTGGAGGCAGGAATGGGACAGATGCTAGGGAGCTTGTCTTTCACTCATGATTTGGAACTGGGATTCTGGTGTGATGATAAGTTTTCCTTCTTTGCAAAGTAAAACCCAGATGTGGCTAAATTTAATTCCAGTCAGAACCACCGATGATTCACCCAAGCTCAGGTGCGCCCACATGCAGCTGGCATCAGCTCTGTGTGCTTTCCAGGCTGAGCCTTCTTCAACCCAGCTTCTCCCATGGAACAGGGGGACAAAGCCAGGTTGTGGTAACCTTGACCTTCTGTGTCTCCATCTGCAGCATCCTGGCCACTGCGGGGACTCACTTCAACACACACGTGGACCTGAGGACCCTCCGGGCTGTGCGTGTCCTGAGACCCCTGAAGCTCGTGTCAGGGATTCCTAGTGAGCACTTGCCTTCCTTCTTTCTCCTCTGCTAAGCTTTACTGATAGGTCCCCACTGGATCTGGGGCTGAAGGAATTTGGGATACACAAGAAACCATGTCTCTAGTGGGAATAAAGAGCGGGGACACGGCAATCTGGCAGAACATTTTGCTTTAAAATTTAGCAACTTTTTTCCCCCAGATTTTAAAGATAGTGAAAGATCTTTGTAGAATATTTGCAAAGTAAAAAAAAAATTGTTATAAAATGAAAAGAAAAAAGCATTCATTTTCCTATGTTTTTAATTCACTTTTTCCCTGTGTACTTTAATGTAATTGTGATAACTGTGTACATACTTTGGGAACCTGTCATATAAGCATTTGATGTTCCTGACATTAAAAGTTCTTCAAAAATATGATTTAAAAAGTCTGGTACAATAGCCCATCTTATTCAGGATGACTTATTTAGTTATTTAGTCATTTCTATGTTGTTGGACATTAGATATTTTCATTTTTTTCCAAATAGAAATAGTGCAGCAACATACATCCTTTTACCTAAATCTTATTCAAATCTGATTATTTTCTTAGGCTAGAATCCTAGAAGTACAATTTCTGGGTCAAGGTATATGGTACTTTATGAATAGTGATTGTGCTAATTATGATCCAACAACAGTGGAGGAGAAACCAGTTCTCAGATAGAGTAGTGAGGGAGGTCATTTTGTCCTTGCTCTCATAGAACTTAGAGCCTAGCAAGGCCAGGCTTGATTTCCTTTAGGAAAGAAGTTTGTTCTAATAAGTTTATAAGAGATAAGCAGAAGGTGACATGGGGTGAAACAAATAAAGGAGGAGAAATAGGAAAGATAGATGATCAGAGAATGGTGAGAAAGAACATGAGATTGATTCCAGGGGAGGTAGTGATGGCAATCTTTGGCTTGACGTTTTCTGGTAGTCCCTTTGCAAATTGTCTTCATCATTTCGGGACTGGTGTTTCTTGTCCCTCAAAGACTCATCCTTTTCCTCTTAGAAGAAGGTAAAGGAAGTCTGTTGTATCAAATGGTGCTCAGGGAGGCTCCATCTGTCATTCTCTTCCTTTCCTTCCAGGCCTGCAGATCGTGTTGAAGTCTATCATGAAGGCCATGGTGCCTCTTCTGCAAATTGGTCTCCTGCTCTTCTTTGCCATCTTGATGTTTGCTATCATTGGCTTAGAGTTCTACAGTGGGAAGTTGCACCGAGCATGTTTCACGAACAATTCAGGTAGGGTCATTTTTTTCTTACCTTCTCCTTCTTCCCTTCCTCTCTCCTCTGGTCGTTGGAAACAAAGAAGGACGCACCTTTCTTCAGGAAATAGAATTGTTTGTGGCTTCCTGGAACCATTTCCAACTCACACTAAACACCTACCCTCCAAATGTGTCTGCAGGTATTCTGGAAGGATTTGACCCCCCTCACCCATGTGGTGTGCAGGGCTGCCCAGCTGGCTACGAATGCCGGGACTGGATTGGCCCCAATGATGGTATCACCCAGTTTGATAACATCCTTTTTGCTGTGCTGACTGTCTTCCAATGCATCACCATGGAAGGATGGACCACCGTGCTGTACAATGTGAGTAGAGATGGGGCAAGAGGAGGAATCGTACACTGAGGCTTCTGGCATTGTTTGAGCTGCTTATTCTGAGGCCACGGGGAGGGCTAAGCGTAGGGGTGTGTGTGTGTGTGTGTACAGACTCAACTGGGAAAAGTAGTAGCATGTCATATCCTTCTATCTATCATCTGGCCTCTTGTGGAGTGGAAGTACACAGCTTCTTAATAGAGTTAGGAAATTACATCCCATTTGATGGGTGAACAAAGCCAATTAAATGAGATCAACTTAGCAGAGATAGAGTATATTTTATGGCGGGCCCAACATGGTGGTGGGGTTCAGTAAGGGGTACTGAGAGGCATAGATTTCTTGGTTGCCAGCTTCAAAGAGCTTACCATTGGGTTGGAAGATACTACAGTAGTTCTCAACCTTGGTACAGATTAGAATCAGCTAGTAGCTTTAAAAATTTACACCTCCTGGGCTCCACTCCAGACAAATTTAGTAGGAATAGCTAGGGGTAAAGGCCTGCCAGTGATTTTTTTTTAAAAGCTTCCTGGCTGATTCTAATATGCAGCTACTGTCAAGAACCACTGCATTCCATGCATATAAGAAACATGCTTAATTATAGGACTCATGAGGGATGCTTGTTAAAAATTTGGGTTCACAGAGCCTTTCTGGGCAGGTTTTGAATTTGTATAGCTTCAGATAGTTAGCGGGCTATACTTTTTGCAAGTGTCTCTGGTGATCTGTATGAGCAGGCATGTTTGGAAGGTTCTGAGTTGGTGCACAAGATAGGGCTGTCTGACTGCCTGTCAAGGGATGTTAAGGGATTGCTGCATGGGGACACAAGTTGGACAGGGTGACCCTGGAAGTATCTTCTGCCTCCCAGAGTCTGATTTTAGCAAGTTATGAAAGGCATGAGTAGAGCCCAAGTTCTAAAATGGCAAGGGTCTGGGAGGTATGTGCTTTGATGCAAAGGGACCCTAAGTGGGCAAAACGGTTTGGGCAAATTGTCTTTATATAGGGGCTAAGAATGGTCTGTATTCTCAGATGCATCTAGCCAGCCCACCCTAAAGTAGATACTTTGGAATGATTGTGCCTCTTATCTGTACTCTCACAGGCTGCCTTCACCCTAAAGTGCCCTTGTTTCCTTTAAACCTGGTTCTATCTGTAGCAAACTTAATGGATGGGGCACAGGGTAGCTTACACAAAGCATTCTTTAGAAGGAATTCTGTATATAAGCTGCACTGGAGGGAAAGAAAGTTGAGGAGAAACTCAACCAGACAGTAATGCCCGAAAAGCCAGGATTTGTATAAGGCCTGCACAAGAGCTGTTTAGTAAATGCCCATTACTAACCTGGATCCATTTCCATATGAGTGAGCAAGTCAGCTTTGTGGAAAGAACCACAGGCTATTATGCTGAAGCTCTAAAGGGCAGTGAGGAAGTCCCAAGGACCAACTTGTGCACAGCAAGCCCAAGGCTTACTTGTGACCTGGAAACACCTTGAGGAAGGACATTGTGAGATTCTCACCAGTTGTGGGGGGTAGCAGGAGGGAGGGAAGGGAGGCAAGACTGATGAGTGTAGTTGTTCCTTATTTGAGATGTCTTGAAGCCATGTCACTCAGATTAGCCAGGCATCTCTGGAAATTACAGCACTGGCCCCAAAGTGGCTGGTGTCATTCATGGGGCTTTGAGAGTGATGTATTTCAATTAAATGTGTAGACTCACCTAAGTGATGTGATAAACGCATTTGAAAGCCTGAAAGGAGAGGTGTTGCGTTTGAACATACAGGCGTGATCTGTTGGTCCTCCTGAGCCAGGGCTCAGATGGTGCTGAGACAAGTAGGAACACAGCTGAAAAATCACCCAGCATGTGCATTAGTTCCTTTGTTCATTCATTCATTCACTCATTCACTCAACAAATATTAAGTGAGCACCTAGTATATGCCAAGCACTTTGCAAGGAACTAGGGCAATGTGAAGGGGGAAAAAGGTGCCATGATCCTTGCTCTCATGGTGCTCTTTTTAAATTCCCATTTCTCTCCAGTTATCTATTTAATGTAGGTATAGAGGTCACACAGACAGTGATCTTGCCCTCTTGCCTCTAGTTTTGCTCCAATGAGGAAGCAGGGAGGAGAAGAGGTCAAGCTGCTGATCCTCTGAAACCTTTCATTGCATGGGCTCCCAGGGCCACAGACTCAAACTTCCTCTGGCTTCTAGCCTGATTGCTCTCAAACTTCAGTTAACTTCAGTTTACTGCTATCCTTGTGGCTGAATCCAGGGTTGAGGGAATTAGTTGAGCTGTAGGGCTGGTTTCTAAAACGTAGCTGGCAGCTCATGAATGAACTTACGTATACTTTGAGATGATGTCACTTACCAAAACATTGGATCTAGGGGCAGGGAGCCAGGAATCCACAGGTAGAGGTAATAGTTATAGGTGGATAATTACACCTTGATTTGGGAGAAGTTGGATGAAAAAGACACTCATTTTTCAGCCAGTGGAACAAGGATAAAGTCTGGCTCCCTAGGAAGAAAGAGCCAGCAAAGGCTAGGCTTTATTTGAGCGGGGAACTGGGGCATGAAGCATGACCCATGTTACAGAAGCTGGTTGCACATCCTGGAGTTAGGGTTGTCTGCTATTGAAAGAGCAGGTTCAGAGTAGCCGATTCCTCATACTGCTGGGGGTAAGGGTTGCAATATATGGTGGAGTTACATCATATATATATACTATATATATATATATATATATATATATATATATATATATATATCCCAAATCCAACCATAAAGCTTGGAAAGTAAGAGAGGGTCAGGGAGAAAGGACAGTAATTTAAATTGTACAGGCTAATTCATTTATCATTCCTTTCAATATTCCTTTCAATGAACTTTGAAATGAGAGATGCCTAAGAAAGGAGGATGGCTGAAAAATGGGATTCTGATAGCCAATTCAACAATTCCTGAACATTTTTTCTTCCCTTTCTTTTAACTCAAGACTTGATAATGACAACATTTTACATATGTATTAGAACTGATTGCACATCATGGTATTAACCATGAACAACTAGTAAAACTCAGTATTATCAATACGGATATGCATATATGTATGTTTCTGCATATAAAGAATCTCTCACTTTGCCATTGTCACCACCATCACCAATAAGATGCAAATATAACTGTTGGTTTCTCTTCCTACCACTCATTCAGGGAAGGCTCAATTCACCCAGCTGCATATCCTCACACAGGCCACCAGGGAAAGGGGAGCTCCCATTTTCCAGGCCAACACCTCTTCTGTTCAATGGTGGCAACAAATATATACGATATACTGGTGCAGCTGTGCTCAAACCAGTAGGAGAACTTTCAGGTTTACACAGTACGCAGAAACTCTCTCAAGCATGCAGACTTAGTTTTAACCTTTTCATGTTCAACTTAAACTCTTCCCTCCTGTTTACATCCCTTTTCTGCTATCCAGACTCTCCATGAATGCCTCCTGGGATTTTGCTACACTCTGGGTTACTTTTAACTTCATTTGCATGTGGCTTTCCTCATCAGAATACATTCTTGTAAGGGGCAGGGAGGGTTCTCCTGGTGGGGGCAACCAGCAGTCATGCTTATTCCATTTATTCTCAACCCAAATTTCAATTCTGCTTGGTCAAACTCCAACTGTATTCTTGGCTTCCCTCCCTCTTGTGGTAGAAAGAATGCAAAGCAGTCTACAGTTCTGCTGGCTGCTGCTTCCTGTTTTGACTGTCTCTCTGAAGGTCTCCTCAACTTGCAAATCTTCCCTTATTCTTGCTCGTTTAATTCGCGTTATTTCTCCTAACCTGGATAGATGTTCCTTCTTCAGTACAAATACATTTTGCCTGTGATCAGTGTGGTTCACTCTATAAATGTTACTGTGGCTCTCATGTTAACTTCCAGCCTGGGTCACCAGGACTGCATGTGGTTCTGAGAACTGGTTCTGTGCTGCTTTGGGTCTATCTTATTTCCCTGTTGTTATTCTGGTATTGTGTTATTTGCTGTATATGTTATCAGGATGCACATGCAGATTGCAGATGTGCCCAGTCTCTGTCTGCTGTCACTCAAACCTCTGCTCTTAAAGTCCATCATTTTTTCATCAGTATTTCTAAGGCTTGAACCATTTCTCTTCTCACTTGGTATTGATAAACTCATGCAGGTGTGCAAATTTTTCAGAGGCATGCCCTTTCTCCTGGTATACCAGCTGTGCTGCTGTGGAGGAAGAGATTTTTACAGACTTTACTGGCTTTTTGTATGAGGCAACTTGTAGTCTGGTTGTTTTTTGAGTCTTCCTCACTTTTCAATTCTTTGGTCTGTAACAGTGCCTATGGCTCTGTCTTAAGTTGCCTTCTCTCAGATGCATATAGTCAATATTTGTTAAATAGCTGACAGTTATTCACTTTTTGCTTTAAGATTTTGCTCAAGTGTGTCATGCCCAGTGTTAAAAAAGAAAATTCAACTGAGTAAATTTGAAGATCAAGTTGGCTTTTTCAATGATTCATGAGTTGGGCAGTATCCCATCTAGCAAATAAAAAGGAGCTCCTAAGAGCTGTATAAAATGGAAGGCTTTTATAGGCAGGAGTGTAAAAGGGAAGTTTCTAATAAAGAGTGGATTGTTGCAGGCAAGGTTACCTTCCTTTTCGTAAGGGCAGAGCTCTTTGAGGCAAATTACCTCACTCGTTCTGATCAGATAATTCCAGATGTGCTGGTTAAAGGTCATATTCCTGGGAGAGGCTGAAACTACAATTAGATGTTAAGTCTTGTTTCCTGATGTGGAGCTCAGCACAAGTGACTCTATTTGACACCTGTTGTTTCTTTCTTCTTCTTTATTTTTTTAAATATTTTATTTCTTTATTCATGAGAGACACAGAGAGAGAGAGGTAGAGGGAGAAGCAGGCTCCCTGCGGGGAACCCAGTATGGGACTCAGTCCCAGCACCCTGGGATCATGACCTGAGCTGAAGGCAGACACTCAACCACTGAGCCACCCAGGTGTCATCTCCTCCTCCTTCT